GAGACAGTATAATAGCAATACGCTCGGCATGCGCCTAACTGGAAATTAAGCCTGGCAGCATGGGTCAGCTAGCTCCATGTCGTTCTGTCTGTCTGCGTTTTTTTTCTCTCTCTCTCTCCTCTCTCTCTCTCGCTCGCACACATTTTCTCTCCCTCCCTCTTTTCTCCGAGCCTCTCTTTTCCTCCACAGCTGCATTCTGTCATGATTTTATAATTAATGCAATTCCTCGGCGAGTGCGCGCGTGTTATTATCCATCATTTGAAATTAATGACGGGGTAAAGGTCGCCGTCAAATTTTTCCAGTCGGCTGAAGCCTCGCAGCTGCAAAGACGTTCCTTATCGTGCAAAAATGCGGCCAGATTTGCCATCGTGTTTCTGTTTAACGCAGCTCTCAAAATGGTTTTAATTTTCCAACGTGTGTGCACGGTTATATACCGCGTCGCGCGGACTGAACAGCGATGATGAGACTCGCCATCGTGCATTTACCTCCCAATCACCCCCCACCACAACGGCGGCGGGTGGCTCGTGGTGGGGTAAAGCGTGGGTGAGCCCTGTGTCTATTACCCTGTCTGGTTTGTGTCAAGGGTACGCTAAATGCCCCCCCCCCCACCCCCTTGAAAGAGAGAGGGCCCTCCAGGGTCCTAATGGTCTGGGATGCTGTGTGCCGGATTGACCTTAGCATTCATATCTCTGTACGTACGAACGAAGACAATGATCACCCATATAGCTTCAACAGACTGTTGGGGCAAGTGCTGTTAGCAAGCACCTATTAAAGCCGGCACAGCACACGAGTGGGTAGGTGGCCAGTACCACGCCAGGCCGCCTTTGTATCCCTAATGGTGATGTTTACACACCACACCAGGTACTCATTTGAGGCTGAGTTTACCTAGGGGAGGCCCAGGACCGGTTCAGATAATCGCTGTTACTGTTGTTGACCGTGAGCGGGAATCGAACCCGGATCGCTGGGTTGGCTGCGCAGTGCGCTCACCGCTGCACGACCGCTAACCGCAGCAACACATACGAACAACACAAATGTATACCAGCAATAATCGATGCGTTACAGCGTGGGGAAAAGGTCAGTTACAATAGAAAGCAATGAATTACCCAAGAATAAATGGTAATCTGCTTATTTATTTAAACTTGCCAAGCCTTAATCTTTGTTGTAATCTTTTAAGTAACCGTTTAAGTTGCATTCTCAAATAAGAATTTCAATTTCTCAAAGGTCTGAGTCAGTAAACCGAATTCATTGTTCTGTAACCTTTTGATGGCCAGGCCCCGGGTTGCAATGAGAGTAGTTTGTCAATGTTTGCTCATTTCTATTGGAGTGAGAGTTTGACAACACATGGTAAAGAGCCCATGTAGACATGCTCTGTGCTGTGATTAAATCATTCGGTACAATCAGGATATAGGAGGGACCTAAAACATGAAAAAAGGGTTTGCTACCAAAACGGCTGCACATCTCAGCCAGCAGTAGAAATTCCACATTGCTATGATAGGGTTGAGTCGTCTTATTATAGGTGCAACGATGCACCTCCAATTGTTGAGCTCACAGCTGCACGCATCAAATGATTTTCATCTTTTCTCCACATTTTAATTACTTCTGATTGTGATCCTCTGCAGCCAGCTGAGGCCGCTACGTCCACCGCATTGTTTTAAAACGAGCTGAATATTAAATTCCTAAAGAAGTTCCCAGCCAGCGCGCGGTGAAAAACGTCGGACACCGTGCCTAAGTACACGACACGGAGACACATCGCAGAGAGCCACGCGGACCCTACCGCGAAAACCGACGTGGTCCTAGAATCCATCCCTGACAAGCTCTTCTGCACGTTTGTTGAACTTCTTTCGCGCCATACGTAGCCGACCGCGCTAATCGGAGGCGCTAGAGGGTGTATTGGGCCTATTCGTCGACTATGCTGGCCAGACTTCTTGAAAGAGGAAGCGACACCGACACTTTGCCTCCACTGCACATGACCTGTCGACTGCGGTGGAACCCCTTTATTCTGCTAGGCGTGACACGGGCCGGTCGATATAATAAACTTGTCCAACCATTCCGGTTGCCACCCCGGGAGATGGAATTGAACCGACAGCCTCTGGATGAACAGTCCACGGCGGCTAAACCTTAAACCACGGTGGCATGTGCGCGAGACCGCTACGACCCCAGACATTAACGAAGATTCGCCAATGTGCTTTCGTGGACACACAAAGGCGGACCGCCGGGAAGTCCGTGCATCAATTACATTCGCCGCGTCGAACCCGAGAAGAATTAACGGGAGAACAAAACAATGCGCCTCGCGAAAGAACAAACATGTTTGTTCGTGGCGTAACCGACGGCAAAGATTACAACAAAGCCCTCTGCGCTCCCCGACGTCTGCTCGCGCACGACGATGCATCGGAGCCCCCGGCGCGACGCTGCTGTGCCGACTGTTGCCCCCACCCCACCTTGACGCGGTACGGCAGGTGCCACGGACTGCAGAGGAGTGCGGTAATTCAATCCCACGACTCGCGAGTTTCAGAAGGCACCCGTTCTGCAGGAGGTGCGGGGGGGGGGCCCTCTCGTACTCGAACGGGCGGCCAAAGCCGCACGGCAATTCCGACATAATTTTTTTGTTGTCAAATTAACCCCCCCCCCCCCCCCCGATACTTGCGGCGTGAGTTCAAATTTCCCGTTTCGTCAAACCCACGCACGGAAGCGGAATGCCTCTTCAGACAATTTTCGGTGAATTGATTACGCCCTCGTGTTTAAGTGCTCGCGATCGCATTTGTTATATTTATTTTCCCGCTCGCAAAGTCCGGCCTCTTGCGACGGACGGCGTCGTAGCCCGCGCGGGCTACGGAGGGAAGCGTCTCCGTGAAACCAATGAGCAACGGGCCCTCATTTCACGCCTTCATGAAGACGACTGTAGGGTGAAACAGTTAAATAATGCATGTCGCATGCGCAGCCCGCGCCGGGATGCAATCTCTTTGCGAGGCGCAAGTGATCATTAGATTTCCGCCGAGCATCGCTCGTCTAATCAAAGGCCTACCTGTGACAGCCCCTTGTTGGAATTAGCCCTGAGAGCCCGCTGGCTAAGAACCTGTTAGCAACACCACCACTGAGTGGTGTCACCAAAGTCACTCTGGGAACCGTACACATTTTCTATTTATCTTCGTCTAAAACTTGGTTGGTTCCCGGGATTTTGGTCGCTGGCCACGCTTAATTTCCCCGCACGCTTGCGCGCATGTGCGAATGGGTGATTATTGTTTTTGTATGTTTATCCTACTACGTGTGTGTATTGTATCGTCATCGTGCAGTTAGTCGAAAGGCCGCTTGCCTATCGACTAACTGCCGTGCCGGGAGATCGAGCCGGCGATCTCCGGATTGCAAGTCCAGTGCGCTGACCCTGCAACGCATATAAATACATTTTTTTAAATGGTTCGGTGCCCTTGATGTGATTTTTTGTTGAGCTTTCTGAGATCTTTGCGGGTAATAGGTCATGTGCTTCATTCCAAATTGTTTATATTTGTTCACACACACAGTACATATATAAAGACAATATACATGGACCTCAAGTTAGCCTATACAGCATGGCACCAAGTGCTTTTAGCACTAAGCACCTATTATGTACACATTCACATATGCACTCGCATGCATGCATGCATACACTCAATACACACTCAAACGCACTCACATTCAAAAACAAAGATCCCCGTATAGCCTTTAACAGGCTGTTGTGACAAGTGCTGTTAGCGAGTACCTATGAAGGCCGGCACGGGCACACTCGGGGGTGGGTGGCCAGCACCACGCCTGGGCGCCTTTGTCTCCCCAGTGCCCATGTCGACCTAGGGGAGGCCCCAGGACCAGTTCAAATATTAGCCACTGTTATTGATCGTTAGTGGGAATCGAACTCGGCTCGCCGGGGCCATAACCACTGCACTACTGCTCATTCACAGACTCGCTCAACAAATGCACTTTTACACATTCACTCACCCCCAGAATCGATCGGTGAGAGTCCCCGGACAAGTTCAGATGCCATGTGGCACGAATGCTTTTCACGGCTGGGAATAGAACCTGGCCACATGCATTTAGCAATTGACTTTATACATCCTTCCTACATCTGGCCCTCTCCAAAAAAACCTCTAAAGGTACATTTTGTACACATCCAATCAGCCACACGGCCTTCTGGGAGTGATTTTTTTTTTCTGAAGCATTGGTTTAGTACGTAGCAGCATACTGTGGACCAGTTTAGACATTTAGTGTCTCATCATCAGCAGAGTCGAGCCTGCCTTATAAGACAGTTTGGTCATCATCTCCTACACTCGCAGAGCATATGAAGTTGTCAGTGCCCTCCCACCTTTGTCTGCCCGGGGATGATGTTCACACACTGCACCACATATCAAGTTATGGGTGAGTCGACTTTAAGAGCCCAGGATCGGTTCTGTAATCATTTTTCGATTAATTCAAACAATCTAAATTAAACAAATATTTGACCAGGTAAGGTCCACTCAGCTATGTAGCTCTTTTCCAGAAGCAACCTTACCACAAATGAAGGCTCAACGAAGTGGCTTATCACGTGGCAATTTCTAGCAGCCAAATTTTCTTTAACGCATGTTTCAAAATTTGGAGAAAAAAACTGGAGGATCCGGAGAAAAATCCACACGACCACGAGGAGAATATGAAAACTTCAAATAGCAGGCGTCGGGATCTAATCCAAGACCTCCTGCATAGCAGGCGAGGTAGTTAACATCTCGCCACGCTAGGGGCAGGGATAATGACACGTGCAACTTGTGTGTGACGTCAGTCAATAGAACACAGAACGCAGCGTCACCGTGTCACCTTTACGCGTCTCGACGTCGGCTGCCCGCCACGGCTTGCGCGGTGGAAAAGCGAACGCCGTGCTCCCTGACCCACGCTGGCACGGCTCGATTGTGCGAGTGGAAAAGAGAGGCACAAGCTCGTGCTCGGGTTTACTCACGCGCGCGCGCAACGATAACGCCCCCCGCCTTGCGATGTCTTTGCCGCAGCTGAACCTGGTGTCGAGCGCCACTCTGGCCAAGAGCACCCCCGAGTCTCCGTCCCAGGGCATGCTGCCTCACCCGGCCAGCACCCCGACCGCCACGTCCGTCATCACGGCGCTCCCGCCGGGCCCCCCCATGCTGCACACGCCCGGCCTGCACGCCATGGGCCCCATTCGCCGGCGCCACTCGGACAAGTACAACCTGCCCGTGTCATCAGGTGAGAGCGCTTCTGTTGCTGCTGCACCACTGATGATTATCCTGCAGATTTTGGTGGTGATGATGATGATGCCGGTGATGGTGGTTGCGATCGCAAAGCCAGCAACGGTTACGACGATCCCCCCCAATGGCGGTAGCCGTGGCAGCGGTTGGCGACGTTGACAGCTGCTTGTGGAAAAATATATCCCATCGCCTTTGTAACCCACCCTGTGCCCGGCTCCACCAGAGCTACCCCGGCGCCTCTCCCGCTTTCGTTCCCGAACGCGCGTTAGCGCGGGAGACCCAGACAGGTGTGAACGCGTGAAGGCCTCTTTCCACTCCCCCACCCCACCATCATCACTTGCAAATGAATCCCACCACACTTAACCTCGATACCGCCGGAGCTGTTGGCCCGCCACTCACGCCGCTGCGACGTGCTTGCCGACGGGAGCTCCGTGGAGGGCCGCGATAAAAACGCTCATCCGTCCGCGGGAGCCAAGAGGGAGAGATATTAAAAGAAAAAGCTGAAGGCAACCATTGGAGCTGATTTTCTCTGGCACTGACGTAGCATTGTGTTGGAGAGCACCAAATTTCGATGCGCACAAAAGAAAAGATGACTTGTATGTGTGTACATACGCAAACTCTTTTCACTGTGGTGCTCCAACCATTGCACCGCACAACCGGATTGCCGTATGTATGTATGGTGAACTTCTGTCGCGCCGTACGTAGCCACCCAGTTTAATCGGAGGTGCCGGAGAAGGACAAGAAACTAAACGGAAAAATAACTTCTGAAGATTACACAAAGAGGTACGACTCCCTGTTCGTGTCTACGCTGTGTTCGTGCGTGACTGTGCGTGTGTGCGTGACTGTGTGCGTATACTCCTTGCCCAACTTCGTGCATGACTGTGTGTGCGTGCGTGACTGTGCGTGCGTATACTCCTTGCCCAACTTCGTGCGTGACTGCGTGCGTGACTGTGCGTGCGTGCGTGACTGTGTGTGCGTATACTCCTTGCCCAACTTCGTGCGTGACTGTGTGTGCGTGCGTGACTGTGCGTGCGTATACTCCTTGCCCAACTTCGTGCGTGACTGCGTGCGTGACTGCGTGCGTGACTGCGTGCGTGACTGCGTGCGTGATTGCGTGCGTGACTGCGTGTGCGTGTGCGACGTCGCACAGCGGCACAGGGCGACCTGAAAGCAACAAACGATGAAGTCCCTCACAGTGGCACCCTGACGCAGCTGGACAATGCATTCTCATCAGAGCTGCGGAAACCTCAAATCCAAACTCCCACCCCCCCCCCCCCCCCCCCGTTTTGCTTTATTAAACGTGTTGGGATGAATGTTGTTACCAAGCACCTATTAATGCCAGCACGACGCGCTTTGGTGGTGGTATAACAAACATCCCTGCTCGGCCGCCTTTGTCTCCCTCGTGCTCTGATGCTCCACGCACCACAGCCAGCACTCATTTAAAGCTGAGTGAACTTAGCCGAAGCGTACGACAGGTTTCGATGCCACTTGCCGTTGCGTTGGAACCTCGGTCCTGCCGGGCTTCCGCAGTCGGGGGCGATGTTGCTACCTGTGTAATCCAAATGGAATAATTTGCAGGTAAATTTTGATAGCATCGGTATAAGGCACATGATTGATTTTATTAATGGTTGGCAATCGAACTTACTTAAATAGCCTGGTTCGTAGTGCAGATCGCTAAGCGCTGCACCACCACACCCCACATACATCATCCCCCTTATAATCCGTATATGCAGAAGACGAAGATCCCCCAGATAGCTTGAAGAGACTGTTTGGGCAAGTGCTGTTAGCGAGCACCTGTGAAGGCCGGCACGGCACGCGACAGAGTGTGTGTGTGTGCGCGTGCGTACAGCCCGGGTGTCAATCCACTGCTGGATGAGGGCCTCCCCAATGCCGTTGCGGGCGGTGAGGGTTTTCTGAGCATACTTCACCGCGCTGGTGGGTGCGGGTTGGCAGAGAGGGGAGTGCAGAAGACACGGTGGATGTTCCTTCACTGCCCTCTACTGCCCACGACACCTCCTGCACCTGGCATTTGTGTGCCTGGTGGTTGCCCATCCAAGCGCTACACAGGCTCAACCCTGCTTAGCTTCCGAAGTCTGACTCGATCTCGGGGTGGGGAGGATGGGGACGTTCCAGATTTGTGAAAAAGAGCTTCATAGCTCATCAGATTTCTCCAGGATAAATTAAGATTCGGATTCTGAGATGATTTGGCAACATTCGAAAGGTGTAGTAACAACGGAGAATAATTGTATCGGCTGATGTGTTAATTGCACTATATCACATCAGTCACGAATGCCAATGTGTTAATATGCATGCCTAGGTTGCCCTCACTCTATGCGGTAGATGCGTTCCAAAACAAGGGCACGCAAAGCGAAAGAGCACGGGGAGACAGCTGTCTGCCGAGTAATGCACACAGCACACACAGTACACACACAGCGCACACACAATACACACAGTACACACACAGCGCACACACAATACACACAGTACATACAGTACACACAAGGTACACACACAGTACACACACAGCGCACACACAATACACACAGTACACACACAGCGCACACACAATACACACAGTACACACACAGTACACACAAGGTACACACACAGTACACACACAGTACACACACGGTATACACACAGTACACACACAAGGTACACACAGTACACACACAGTACACACAGTACACACAAGGTACACACAAGGTACACACACAGTACACACACAGTACACACAGTACACACAAGGTACACACAAGGTACACACACAGTACACACACAGTGCACACAATACACAAAGTACACACAAGGTACACACACAGTACACACACAATACACAAAGTACACAAACATTACACACAAGGTACACACACAGTACACACACAACACACACGGTGCACACACAGTACACACAAGGTCCACACAGTACACACACAACACACACGGTACACACACAGTACACACACGGTACACGCACAGTACACACAAGGTACACACACAGTACACACACAACACACACGGTACACACACAGTACACACACGGTACACACACGGTACACACACAGTGCACACACGGTACACACACAGTACACACACGGTACACACACGGTACACACACAGTACACACACGGTACACACACGGTACACACACGACACACGACACACAAAGTACACACACAGTACACACACAACACACAAGGTACACACACAGTACACACACAACACACACGGTACACACACATGACACACACAACACACACAGTACACACACAGTACACACCCAATACACAGTACACACACGGTACACACACATGACACACGACACACAAAGTACACACACGGTACACGCACGATGTTGTCCCACGTCCGACCGCATAGCCGCACGCGAGAGAATTCAAAGCGCATACTGGGGTGACTTTAGCGTCGGGCCAGGGTTCGCGCCAACTGATCCGGCATCGATCCGAAGAAGACCACCGTACAAAAGAGCAAACATCGCGCAAACAACGAGCGCTCGCTCGCGTCAACCCTCCGAGCCGCTTTGAGACGTAATCTGTTCACCGTTTCGAGCTCTCGCTCGGAGACGAACAAACGACGGTGGCGAGTCGCGGCCACGGCAATCGGTTTAACCGCCCCGTGTCGCGCACGAAGGCGATGCCGATCGGCTTGACCACCCCGTGTTGCTCACGAAGGCGACCGCGATCGGTTTAACCGCTGCCCTCGGCACCGCAAAGCCAAGAAGGGGTGGAGGGGCACCACCTCCGATGTGGCACTGTCGGCTGCGCCATCGTGCGCGAGACCGTGTGCCGAACAACGTGCCCGCACGCTCGTATTTATTTGCGCTAATTAGGCGCAATTGTAAACACCGTGTCACATTACGTTGCGTTGCAATTAGGCATTTGAAATGATAACGTGCCGTATGCATGTTTTTTCGTAAAAAAAAAATCTTGAACGAAAACACGCGCTGTTGTCATTGTTTACCATGTCGGTGAAAGATTTGCCTTGTTCACGCATAAATGCATACATATATATTAAGCATTTGCTACGAATTAATGTGTATATACTGTGGAAGGATTTCTTTTTTACTGATAAAATATATAGTTCTAAACCAATGGTTAATTGAAATGGGATTCATACTTTTAAAAATGTGTAGTGATTTAAAACAAAATGTAATCTCGATCGTCATCATATAATTGCATTTTCCATCATAATCATGACGATCATATAATGGCTATTACTGTGATCATAAGATATATTGGTGAGAAAAATGAATAAAACATCAAAATCATGGAAACCTAACATTTAATGGAACCATAAATGAATTCTCATCATCAAAGTCTGTTACCATGTTGATCATCAAGACATACTTTTTTAATTCTTTGCGCACAATGGATCTCATCGTCACCACCATCATAATGAGAAACAATGGATATCATCGCCACCATCATTATAATCTTGGCATAGAATGGATCTCACCATCACCATCATCATCTTTACATACAATGGACTTCATCATCACCATCATCTTTACACACAATGGGTCTCGTCGTCACGACCCATCATCACCGAACGCGAGAGCAGCACCGCGGTTCCTGCGCGCGCGACCACTGTTCTCCTGTGCCCTGTGTGCTCAGCCACGGTTTCTGTGTGTACAATCGGGATGGTGTTTCGCAGCCACGCTGCATGTGATTGTCGCAACAGAGCTCGCACAGAACCAGGAGTTCTACCAGAATGCCGAGGTCCGGCCGCCCTTCACGTACGCGTCCCTAATCAGGCAGGTGCGTATCGCCCGCATATGCAAATTTTGCTCTTTGAAACGCGTTTGTGGGTAAAAGCAGACACTTAAAAACAATGAGTTGTGATGGCTCGCTCTATCCGGGCCTTCTCAAATGCACTCGGGTCATTACGGGCGCCGTTATTAAGTGCGAGTCTGCCTCCCCGGAATGTAATAATGAGACAGTGATTATGAATTTTTGATGTGCCCTTTACGTTCGCGCGATGTTGAGCGCCGTGGTGAAGGCGTTGAGAGGTAAAAACGCGGCACGCGCGCGGCGCGCCTGCCTTTCCCTTCTCGCCTCGCTCTTCCCTCCTCCTCCTCCCTACTCCTCCTCTACCTCCTCCTCCCGCCTCCCCCCCCGCCCCCGTCTTTCCATAGGCCATCGTAGAATCTCCGGACAAGCAGCTCACCCTCAATGAGATCTACAACTGGTTCACCCGGAGATTTGCGTACTTCCGGCACAACGCCGCCACGTGGAAGGTAGCGCGCACACACGTCCCAAAGCGTTCGCCTGGGGCCCTCTGATTAGCACGGTTGGCTACGTATGGCGCGAAAGAAGTTCAACGTACGTGCGGCCCCACAGCGGGGACTACAGAGGGTGGGATAAGGGGCTCCCACGCGGCATTCTGCCCCGGGCCTCCGGGAATCTTTGGGTGGCCCTGCTGATGAGAAGAGAAGTGTAGAGGGTTTGCCGCAAATTGGCGACACTTTGCTTTAAGATCCATCATAATCGTACCGTCCAATTAGGAATATCTTTGCAAATTTTTGTAATTTTTATTTATTTATGTACAGCCAAATTGCTTTATGAAATAACAAAAATGAACGTTCGCAATGATGCAGTAATTAAAGTTTTTTTTATCACTATTACCCATTAAAGTAGTGCTTTGTCATGCAGATTTTTGGATGGCTTGACAGCATGAGCTTATGTGCTTTAGATTTCGAAGTTGCAATGGTTGGAAGACCTACGGATTATTATGATGATGTGTGGACTGCAGTTGGATAACTCTGAAGTTATCTTTATTCACACTGGAAGTACTGTACATCAAAGCACAGAAGCAAGAGGATAAAAAATGTGAAATGCACTCGCAAGCTTCAGGGAAACTTATTTCGCGAAAATGGGCAACTCGGTATTTTTTATATTTTAATATCACATCGCATTGTGAAGAATGACTCAATGGCGGCGGTGGTGGGGGGGGGTTGGTGGACTGTGCGGGGATTATCTCTGTGACAGCCCCGGTGTCGATGGTGGCGGGAGCAGAGATGTGTTTGCGGGAAGCAGTATAGCAAGCGGGTTGCCGGCCCGTTCTCGTGGATCTTTGAGCGCTAGTCCGACAACTCTCACTGCCTTGTGAGTGTCTCGGGAGAGTCAATGGCTAAGGGAGTAAACCCCAACAGAAAATCAGAAGTGGGGCCCCTTAAGTGGTTTTGTGATGAACAGCGGCACATTCCCGGCACACCCTGCAGCCAAACTGGTACCAAACGTCGTGCTACGCACTCCTTTGGACCTCACCAGCAAGGTCGAGGGGGGGGGGATCCTGATGCATGAGCAACCCAGGATTTCCAGAGTAACCTGCCCGGGCTTTGCGCCAACAAGAGGTGCAAACATGGGGAGAGGGAGAAGACACTCCTCCTCGGCCACCTAATCGTGGCCAAGAAACACGGATGGCAGCAGTCACGAGTTATAAGCTCACTTTGGATTGGCGTTAAAAATGGGCGCCACGGGTTGCCATCGTCGGTGGGAGGATTCATTGCACCCCAATGGATAGCGCCCGCCTCAAGCTGGGCAGCCCCCGGCCAATAAGGTGCTTTCCCGCCACAGCTCACCTGCTCCAATGGGTGCTTGGAGCTTATGGTTCATCACCAGACACGTGGCCTGCAACACCTGCACCAGACAAAGGCAAAACAAAAGGAAAGAAGGTACCAGCCATTCATTTTGCAAGCTGGAATGCACGTGCAATGTCTTCTGGACTCTCCGAAGATCTATTGCAGATTGAGGACATCCGCAAGACTGCAGTTATCGACAGGGAGCTGGCGAGACTCCACGTGGATATTGCAGCGCTGCAGGAGACCCGGCTTGCTGGCAGTGGCTCACTACGAGAGAGTGACTACACTTCCTACTGGCAAGGCAAACAGCAGAACGAACCAAGGCAACATGTTTGTTGGGTTCGCCGTCAAAAACACACTCCTCGGCATGATAGAACCACCAACCGCAGGCTCCGAGCGGATTCTGCTCATGAGACTGCTCACTGCTTCTGGCCATGTAAACATCCTGAGTATCTACGCCCCAACACTCTACTCACCTCCGGAGATTCATGACCAGTTCTATGAAGAGCTTCACAATATTATTCGCAACATCCCCAGCTCTGAGCACATGCTTCTGTTGGGAGACTTCAATTGAAGGGTTGGGGCTGACCACGACGTGTGACCCCTGTGCCTTGGCTATCACAGCATCGGAAGATGAATGCCAGTGGCCAAAGACTACTGGAGCTCTGCTCATACCACAATCTCTGTATCACAAACTCATTTTTTCTCATAAAACCATGCCATAAAGTATCATGGAGACATCCAAGGTCTCTTAATTGGCACCAACTGGACCTTGTCATCACCCCACGAGCCCTCCTCAACTCACTACTCATCACACGCAGCTACCGCAGTGCAGTCTGTGACATCGATCACTCACTGGGATCCAGCAAGGTCAGACTACGCCCCAACAAGATACACCGCCTCAAACACAAGTGCTATCTACGCATCAACTCTGCCAAAACCTCCCTCCCAGATATCACTCAATCATTCCAACACTGCCTTGAGCAGTCCCTACACAACACACCAGATGGAAGCGTGGAGACAAAGTGAGCGTACATCAGAGACGCCATCTTCAATGTAGCCATCAATACCTTCGGCAAGCAGACAAGGCAGAACACAGACTGGTTTGAGGAACACCTGGCTATATTGGAACCCATACTCCAAGCCAAGGACATGGCGTTGCTGAAGTACAAGCAAGTCCCAAGTACAGGATCATGAAGGGCTCTGATAGCTGCCCGCAGTGCGGCTCAAACGACTGCCAGACGCTGTGCCAACAACTACTGGCTGAACCTCAGCAGTAGGATCCAACTCGCCTCTAACACTGGTAATATCCGTGCCATGTATGAAGGCATCCAGACAGCCTTTGGTCCAAACATCAAGAGGACTGCCCCCCTTAAATCCAGCACAGGGGCCATCATCACTGATAAACAAGAGCAAATGGCCAGGTGGATAGAACACTACTCAGAGCTCTACTCATGAGACAACGGTGTGTCAAAAGCTGCCCTTGCTGTTGTAAAGCCCCTACCAACGAAACATGAACTGGACAATGTTCCAGTCTTGAAGGAACTTGACAACGCCATCAACTCACTAGCCAGCGGCAAGTCCCCGGGACAGGACGGCATCACACCTGAGGTACTGAAATGTGTGAAACCCGCCATCCTCACAAAACTCCATGAACTTATCTGCCAGTGCTGGGAAGAAGGAGCAATGCCTCAAGACATGAAAGACTCCAACATCAGGAGGACTATATAAAAACAAGGGTGACCGTGGGGACTGCAAGAACTACCGCGGCATCTCTCTGCTGAGCGTCGTGGGGAAAACCTTTTCCCGTGTGGTCCTCAGCAGGTTACAGATACTAGCTGAGAGGACGTATCCTGAGGCTCAGTGCGGCTTCAGAGCAGGAAGGTCCACGATTGGCATGCTCTTCTCCTTGCGTCAGCTACAGGAGAAATGTCGAGAACAGTGAATGTCCAGTACTTGGCATTCATTGGTCTTACAAAGGTCTTTGACCTCATCGGTAGGGGAGGCATCTTCAAACTCCTCAAAGTGATCGGCTGCCCACCGAAGCTGCTGGCAGTCATCTCCTCTTTCCATGACAACATGAAAGGAACAATACAGCACAGCGGCACCACCTCAGAGGAATTTCCCATACTCAGCGGTGTTAAGCAGGGGTGCGTGCTGGCCCCAACACTGTTTGGCATCTTTTTCTCACTTATGCTCACACATGCCTTTGGGACAGCAGAAGAGGGAGTCTTTCTCCATACAAGATCTGATGGAAAACTCTTCAACCTTGGTCGTCTCAGATCCAAAACCAAAGTCCGCAATGTCCTCATCAGAGAACTCCTATTTGCTGATGATGCCGCGCTGACAGCTCACACAGAACAAGGTCTGCAGACACTCATCGACCACCTTGCCAATGCCTGCAACAACTTTGGCCTGACAATCAGTCTGAAAAAGACCAATGTCATGGGCCAGGATGTCAGGACACCCCTTCTATAAACATTGGCAGCTACACCCTGGAAGTCGTTCAGGACTTCACCTACTTGGGTTCCACCATCACCTGCAATTTGCCCCTCGTCACAGAGATTTACGAGCGCATTGAGAAGGCGTCTACAGGAATGTTCAGGTTGACCTAAAGAGTGGGGGAGAACAAATCTCTCACCCTCAACACCAAAGTGCAGGTGTATCGGGCCTGCGTCCTTAGCACCCTCCTCTATGGGTCTGAGTCCTGGGCAACATACGCCCATCAAGAACATCGATCAAATACATTCCACCTCCGATGTCTCAGGGGCATCCTCGGTATCAGATGGCGAGATCGCATTCCCAACACCTCAGCCCTCAACTTGGCCAACCCCTGAGATGGCTTGGACACGTGTGCTGCATGCAGGATGGCAGAATACCCAAGGATGTCTTGTACGGCGAGCTGGCATCAGGCACACGGGCCACTGGTCGCCCAGTCCTGCGCTTCAAAGATGTCTGTAAACGGGACATGAAGAGCTGCGACATCAACCCAGGTGACTGGGAGAAAAGTGCCGGCGACCGACTCAGCTGGCAGCAGGCTGTGAAAACAGGCCTCAGGAGAGGCGAGGAGAAAATACACACTTCCTGGCAGACCAAGAGGGAGCGATGTAAAGAAAAAGCAACAAATACCTCTGGAGCTGCCACCGCATTCACTTGCAATTGCTGTGGAAAGGATTGCCACTCCAGGATTGGCATACTAAGTCATTCTAGGCGCTACAAAACATACTGCTGACTTCGTAAGGCACAAAATAATTGTCTCTCGAGATACACAGGCCTATTGATGAGTCCGGCAACACGTTTCTTCGTGTACATCGCTCTTGGAATTGGCCAGGCCATCCCAAGTGGGATGCGTCTTGAAAACGATTCTCGAGATGCGCGAGTAAGCCTCGTCGTTCTTACACTTTCGCCCTCCCTGTTCACACGGAGGAATTTCACTGAGACCCGTACGTGCGACGATGCTCCGAGACTGAAAAAGTGGCACGTTTCCTACGTGATTTATAATTGTGTATTTGTGTAAGTGACGCGAGCGTGCAACTTGTCTGCAATAAATATAACAGTGCACCACGCATTTGCGGGGCCGTGATGATTTCTGGGTGGGTGAAATGTTGGATTTACATCTTGTTTTTATTTCCCAGGGCGTAAGTAATTCCCTTTGT